AAACTAGTTGACCAGTTCACTGAAAATATAGCCTTTTGAGGGTCTCGGCTGTATCACAGGGGCCTTGACCGCAGCTCCCTGAATCCTATGGCCTCTGGTTCGGCTCTTCCTGAGGTCATGTGAACGTTCTCCCTCCCCTGAGGGTCACAGATCACTCTAGTGCTGGCTGCTCTGGTTTTCCTTACATTCCTGAGAGGTCAGCTATTGGTTAAAAGGATGGCTGCTTTTGTGTGGAGTAATCCAGTTTGTGGAAGGAGGACTTTTAGGTCTCCATCACATGAGCGGAAGCAGGAGTCTCCATCAGTTTACGGGAGAAACTTTTATTAGCATACATACTCTTCTTTTTTAAGTTTTAAAAAATTTAGCATGAATTTGCCTATGCACCTTTGTTGTCAGGGTTATATACATTTTTTTGGTTTAACAGTTGTTGAGCTGCCAATTGGAGAAATCAGATGAGGGCCTATTTTTAGCTAAATTCTATTGTAGGCCACAGGTCAGTTTTCAGTAAACACACACACAAACCCATAAACAAACGCATATATACATTTATATTAGCTACCTTTCTCAATTCACCTATTGTCTTTTCTGACTGGGAGGTAAGATATCAGGACTGCAGGATGGAGGCAAGCCCAGTGCCTCGGTTTTGGGTGGCCTGGTACTGCGGGTGATGGAAGCAGTGAGCCCACCTTACTTTCCTGGACACTTCATGGTTTGGGATGGGGAGACTCACATTTAAGGACCAGAGGTGAGAGGTCATGGCTCTGTTACAGCATCTGGCAAGAAGCACATGGCTTGGTGGCTTTCTGAATGTTTAGCAGGACAGGACGGGCAATCGTAATGCCCCAGTGATTCGTGTATGACCCCACGAGCGTATACTCACTTTATTTAGAAATGCTGTGAAACTATATGCTAATTGCAGGCTTATGGGGAATATTTTAAATTATAATATTTTAACATAATTGTAAATAAATGATTTCATAAAAGGTACAAAAAAAATCATTGGCATGAGGATGGAAATAGACATCCCGTTAGGACAGCAGCTGATGCTGTGCCCCTCTGCCTGGCCTCCGTTCCCTGTGGTTACGTGAGGAAGGGCTCCTGTTTAAAGCGAACCAGTCATCCTGGTCATACTCACACCTAAGCCCCAGGAAGTCACATTCCTCAGTACGGTCCACACTGGGATTTGCTTTGGAAAGGTCTCTCTTGATTGGGTATAATTTGTTCTAGATTATTGTAGAACTCTGTTTAGGATTTATAATATGCTTTAAAAAAAACTTAATTTCGATTTTTTTTTTTTTTTTTTTTGCGGTACGTGGGCCTCTCACTGCTGTGGCCTCTCCTGCTGCGGAGCACAGGCTCCGGACACGCAGGCTCAGCGGCCATGGCTCACGGGCCCAGTCGCTCCGCGGCATGTGGGATCTTCCCGGACCGGGGCACGAACCCGCGTTGCCTGCGTCGGCAGGCGGACTCTCAACCACTGCGCCACCAGGGAAGCCCTACATTTTGATTTTTAAGGAAAAATATGAGCCTCTGGTTAGGGCACAGTGCTGTTTATTGCCTGTGATATTGACAACTTGTACTTTTCATTTCTTTTTCTTTAACACATGCTGTTTCTGCTAGAGCAAGACGGTTTGTCTTCTTTTTCTCTTGGTAATCGTGACATGCACCTCTTGAGAAGACTAGTCATAGCAGTCTATTGATGTGATGGATTTCAGAAATTGTGCTCTTGCAAGAAATACTGAAAAGAAATTGGTGATGATTAAACAGGTTGAAGCAAGAGATTTAATTAGTGCTTAAGAGACAGAACTTACAGTAGATCATGTCCATTTTCAAGCTGAGAATGAATTCCCTCTGCCATGATTACAATAGGATTTTAGCTCAAATTTCCTTTCTTCCCGTGTCTTTCCTGATAAAATTGGCTAATAGAGCTTCTTTGCATGTAAAATACCTTAAGTACCAAAGTCTTCTAATTGAGTTTTTCTTTCTTTCTGGAAAGAACATTGAAGACTTGCTTCCAGATGTTTTGCATTAGCAAAGTAGATTTTCTAGCAACAGGATGCTTATCTAAAATGCCGGAATCGACTTTAAAAAATCAACTAAATTTCATTTTCCCCATGAAAGTATTTGTTTTGGAAAATGCACACGGTTGCACAGCATGTGGGTAAAGCTTCAGCAGTGAGCTCTCGTCCAGCACCTCCTTTGCCTGGGGATCATCCAGTCCACTGACTCGTGGTCATCCAGTCCACTGACTCGTGGCCATGCCCCTTTTCCAAAACAGGCCTACTGAGTCGAGTGCTGTCATTGGTGACTTTCACTGATAATAAAACACTGAAGTATATACATTATTTACTTTAAAGTTTCAAGTAAATGGGAGAGAACGAAAAGTTAGACCTATAATACCATCATTCAGTTTCTTCCTTTCAAGAATGGAAGGGAAAGGGGTGTTTAAACGTAACCCCACCTTTTAAGTATCTGAACCCCCCTTTTAAGTCACGAGTAAGCTCCCTTTGAGGCTCCATTAATAGTTGTGACGCTTGGAAAGTTCCTTAGTGCTTTCCTTGTCCCCAGAGTTTTGTTTGTCAGAAACTGAGCTTGTGGTTGTGCGTGAGAATATCACTTATTATGGGCTGCATCTCTCTCCCACCTCAAAACAAACGAAACACAAACAAATAATAGCCGTTGCTTTGAAAATGCTGTCAGAGTTTAATTAAGCCAAGTCCAGCTAATTACCTTCAGCAGTGAGAGAAGTTTCACTCTGACACTTCCCGTCTGGTGGCTTTCCCTAGACAGGCCCCAGAAAGACACCACGAGCCCGCCCGGGGATTCTCACCTGGCCGCACTGCTGAGGTCAGGAGAGAGCGAGGTGTGTGTCTCTCGCTGCTTGCTGTCCTTCCCTGCTTCCCTCCCAGCCATCTGTGGGAACCCAGCGACTGCAGCCGCTCTCGGCTTTGTGATCCACCCAAGTGATGACGGTCCTGAGTAACAGTTTGCAGGCCCCCTTCCTCAGGCGAGCCATGAGTAACAGCAAGGAGATGAGCTCAAGGCTTGACAGGGACAGAGGCGTAACCCTGGCCCAGTACCTGGGACACAACTGGGTCACTATTAACAGCAACAGCAATCAAACTTCAAGCAGATGCGCCGTTAAAGCCCTTTTACATAATTGTAGCAGGCTTGGGTTTCCTCTGGTTCAAGTGTTCTTGCCTCTTTGATAATCAAATGATCTGAAGAAAGGCGTAGAATTTCAAGGGAGAATCTGCAGGACAGACGCACAATAAGGCCATTCACGGGACTCTTTTATTAGCTTACACTGTATCTGCATCACGTTAGGTCTCTGGCTTTACTACAAGGCTCCATTTAAACTTAACCCAACTTGCAGACTTAACTGATCCAGGAATTACTCAATACAACCAGCCAGCTACTGTAGCTTTTCCCCTCTGATAAGGGGATTTAACACAATGGGCTTCACAGTTCTTAAATGACTCCGTTTTTTTCCCCCTGTCTTTGAGATGTGGTGCTTATGTGACCTTTTGTTCTGAATAAAATTCCACATGGTTTGATTATATTTTTTAAAAGTACCAGCAAACACAGTATTGACTTCTTACCCTTAGAGGAAAACGTTTAAAATCTTGTAGATGGTATAGAAATGGAATTCATGTCATAATATTTACACAGCTAATTTCACTATATTAGATATTAACTATTAGATATTATTAAACTTGGAAATATTTTATTTTTGAGGGGTGATTCTGATAAAGTTACTGGTAGCACTTCTGCATTACACTTTGACTTTTGCACACTTCCGGTTATCTGCTGGTGTCTGTGCCGTTTCTGCTACCACAGTGCTGATAGACTAACCTGGGCACACTCGGCCAGTATGTGGAGGGGAAGCGGCCGGGGAGCCTGACCTCAGAGTGGGAGACCCTTGAGGATGGATTTGGTAGCAAACCACTGAGAGCACTGTCGGCCCCCGCTTTGGATCACACCTCAGAATAGTGGGTCTCAAACTTTAGTGAACAAAAGTCATCAGTAGGTTGGATAAAAATGCAGATGCCTCGATTCCACGCGCAGGGGGTCTGAACCAGTAGGTCTGGGATGGGGGCCTGAGAATTTGCATCTTTAGCAAGCACCAGTTGATTCTGTTATCTGACCCCACTGAGAACCATTCCCCCCGATTCACCAGGGATTGGGAGCTCAGGGACCCTCCTGGGGAGGCGTGACCCTGGTGGGATTTCCCCAGGGGGTGGCAGGCGGGAAGGTTGCTCTGGAATGTCCAGCGAGTATCCTCTTCTGTTCCGCCTCCCTCCACAGCAGGGCGGCACCTGCCGTGAGCACCGCGTTCCCAGGGACCTGCGTCACCCGTGGGCCTGCGCTTGGGTGTCTGAGAACGTCTTCTCACCCCCAACCCCTTCTGTACGTCGTCAGAATTTCCGAGCAGTTGTTATCTGCGGTATTTAATCCGAATTTGCTTCTCTAGCCTCCCCCGTTACCGCCCTATTAAAGTAATTTTAGATTTTTAGAAACAAAGGTCTTTGTCAAAAGATTTCCGATTAGAAGCGGACTCTCAAGAAGCCTTTTGGGGGTTATGGACGTAATGTGTTTGTTCATTTCATGAAGGTAAGATTTTTCCTTGAAGATAAGTTGATCTGGTGATCAGGACAAACAAGTGGTGATGACTGCTGTTGATATCCCAGCGCTTTGCCTGCAGTGCCGTCGTGTATTCTGTTTGTAGAACCCACCCCCAACGCGGTTGAAGGACTTTGTTATTATGAGAATTTTCAGTCCGACACACAACGAGAAAATACAGTTCCCATATCTGCATCACCTGGTTTCCAGAGTTACCAAGATTTGTCATGCTTTTCGGCAGCATTTTTTTCCCCTGTTCTTAAATTTTGCTGGTCGTTTTTTAATTGGTTCTTTTCGGAATGACTCAAACATGAAAAGCTTTGCTTGGGGTCTGGGTGTGGTGTTCCTGAGTAGTAACTGCAAGATGTCCTTTTCAGGAATGTGTTCCAGAAAACCTAGAGCTGAAGGAGCAGCTTTTTGCTCAGCTGGATGGGATCGTTGGTGACCAAGTTGTCCTGAGCAGCTCCAGCTCCTGCCTCCTGCCCTCCAGGCTGTTCTCCGGCTTGGTACACGTGAAACAGTGCCTTGTGGCGCATCCTGTGAGTATGTCGAGCCTGGAGATGCAGTGAGTCTCACCTGGCTTTCTGGGAGCAACGTGTTTGGATGAATCTGCTAGTACTTTGTAACTGCTTTACTGACATATAAGTCACATATCACACAATCCAACTTGTACATTTCAGTGGTTTTTAGTACATTTAGAGAGTTGTTACAATATCACTGTCTCACAAAGAATTTTATCCAAAAATCCCTTGAACTCTATCTTATACATCATGCAGTGTGGGAGAGAATGATCAATACTTACAGACTTTCGCCCTTAAGTAACTCACCGTCTAGCTGAGGGGAGAGACTGCTAATCAAATCATCCCGGTGCCAAGGAAAGGTGCCACGTCAACGAAAAGTCTAGACCACATGGGATTCTGCAGGTGGGTCACCTGTACTGTGTGGTTTCCTGAACTTAGCTCAGAGTAGGGTCACTTGTGCTGATGTGCAGGATCCGGGTCCCCCCCCGAGATTCCGGTGCAGCAGCTCTGACTTAAACCCTCCTTTTTGTGGTCCCTTCCACCAGACGTTGGCACTGACTGCGCCAACGCACTCACCAGGCGTGCGCTGCGAGGCATGTTGGACCATGAGCTCCAAGTTGGCACGTGGGCACTCAATCTTTTTGCGATTAACGTGTTAATGTCAGGAAAGGGGAATCAGAGTGGGGATTCCGGGGTCATTCGGTGGACATTTGAGTACCGAGTGGAGGTCAGTGTGACCTTGGAGACCTGGGACAGCCTGGTAGGACAGAGACGCCGCTAACTTAGCTCAAGCCCACCCCGGGCCAAGAACAAGCATGGGCCTCGTAGAATCGCCAGGAGACCAGCTTGACTGCAAGAGCAGGAGAAAGGTGGAAGGCTTGGTAATACTTGGGTCATGGAGAATCGCGAGAGTTACTCTGAAGAATGAGAACTGGCTTAGGTGCCGGGCAGCTCCTGCACGGAACTTGGGGCAGAATTCCCAGCACGAGTGGCCAGGGCCTAGGGAGGTGAGGGGTCCTCGAGTGGGGAGCAGGGAAATTCCTCTTTCTGAGCAAGAGGAGGTTAGAGGGGAGATGAAGACACAGGGGAGTCACAGATGCCTGCTGGGCCTTCCGTGCTGCTCAGAGGGACAGCCTGGGAGTCACAGATGCCTGCTGGGCCTTCCGTGCTGCTCAGAGGGACAGCCTGGGAGTCATAGATGCCTGCTGGGTCTTCCGTGCTGCTCAGAGGGACAGCCTGGACCACCGTTTACGTGACTGAACGGTCTGGATGTCCTCACACTGAAGTTTAATGGAAAGTGTAAAAGAATGGTTATAAAATAAGGAGACTTAGACCCAGAGCACAGAGAAGAAAACCAAGCATTTAGTTACCACTCCATACAGGTGAAAACAGCACCAGAGAGACCTTAACGGAAACATCTAAATATCAGGTTCCATGAAGCATGTCATGTCTTGCTTCCATGACATACGTGTGTCCATAACAAGCCTCTTAGACACCGTGATTGTTACTTGGTTGCTTCAATAAAAGGTGCAAGCCTCTTAGTCAAGAGCTTCCGTTTCTAACCAGTGTTTTTTCTTCTAAGTCAGTTTAAAAAACAACTGAATCAAATTGTTCAGAAAACACCCCCTAAGTCCTCTGACAGTTTTACTCCATCTCTCTCTTTTTTTTTAAATTTATTTTAGGCTGCGTTGGGTCTTCGTTGCTGCACGCGGGCTTTCTCTAGTTGTGGCGAGCGGGGGCCACTCTTCGTTGTGGTGCGAGGGCTTCTCATTGCGGTGGCTTCTCTTGTTGTGGAGCATGGGCTCTAGGCGCATGGGCTTCAGTAGTTGTGGCACGTGGGCTTAGTCGTTGTGGCTCGTGGGCTCTAGGCGTGTGGGGGTCAGTAGTTGTGGCGCACGGGCTTAGTTGCTCCGCGGCATGTGGGATCTTCCCAGACCAGGGCTTGAACCTGTGTCCCCTGCACTGGCAGACGGATTCTTAACCACTGCGCCACCAAGGAAGACCCCACATCCCTGCTTTATAGTAAAGAAAAGTTCACCTAGGAGAGACATGCTTCCAATTCTTATCATTCTGATCTTAAAAAGGCCAGAGGTTAAACATTTTTATAAGAATTCATATAAGAATTCAGTGATTATAGGCAGGAGACAAGTGATTCAACTAAGGCATTGATTTATAATTTATTTGAAATAGGTGCTATCCTCGCTTGCTTTCTAGGAAGGCTGCGACAGGGTGACCAAGACAGGCTGGGAGCAGAATAAACCTCTGAAGTGTGTGGACCAGCTGCCTCTCCAGCCAGTCCTGGGAGAAATAATTTCTTCTCTCTTCTGTAGAGCAAGTCATTTTAAAGTGGATGCTTCTTGTAGTTATTTGGTAGATGTGAGATTCTACCAATTTTCACCCAAACATGGAGGAAAAACAATTTAAAGTAAAGCATCATTTGGGGAACAGTTTAGTGTGCATCTGCTTAGTGGTGAGGCTGATCAGCAGCCTTTTATCAAACAGCCTTTTCCTTTTTCTGTTTTTGTTTTTTGGCCATGCCCCGCGGCATGTTGGATCTTAGTTCCCCGACCAGGGATCGAACCTGTGCCCCATGCAGTGGGAGCGCGCAGCCTTAACCACTGGACCGCCGGGGAAGTCCCTCAAACAGCCTTTTCTTTAGATGTAGGAGAATTTTCTTTGAGAATCTTCAGGAGTGGTTTCTCAGAGGAAACCAAGAAAACCAGAGCTGGGTGGGCAAGCATTTCCACTGTGGACAGACTCTCTTCCTGTCTTAGCATCCATCACGCTGTTGAGGCTGAAGAGGTCTTCTGATATTGTGTGACTTCTAGGTAAGATATGATTGCGGAAGCAGATGTTTGAGGCTCGACATGGAGAAATTAAGGAAATGCCAACTTTAGGGAAGATACTGCCAATCCAATAATTTTTTTTAAATTAATTAATTTATTTTTGGCTGCGTTGGGCCTTTGTTTCTGTGCGAGGGCCTTCTCTAGTTGTGGCGAGCGGGGGCCACTCTTCATCGCTGTGCGCGGGCCTCTCACTGTGTGGCCTCTCCCGTTGCGGAGCACAGGCTCCGGACGCGCAGGCTCAGTAGTTGTGGCTCACGGGCGTAGTTGCTCCGCGGCATGTGGGATCTTCCCAGACCAGGGCTCGAACCTATGTCCCCTGCATTGGCAGGCAGATTCTCAACCACTGCGCCACCAGGGAAGCCCTCCAATAATTTTTAACACTGACACAGGAGACCGGCAATGACTATTGTGGAAAGAGGATGGCTGGGGGCAGGGTAGGCAGAAGCTTACGAGGTCAAGACAGCTGGGAGCAGAGAAATCCCGAGAGAGGTCAGGGGTTTGGAGGTAAGCGGTAAATGTACAGGATGGCAGTTTGCACCCTCCGATGTGAACCTCAGTGTTGGTTATGATTCATGCAGTTCTGTGCTCAAGTTCTTTCGTTTTCTCCCTGCTCTGTGCATTACTTTATTTCTCGAATTTTTTGTCACTGGATGCTGAATCTCAAGGGGCCCCATCTGCCCTGCTGCTGACCCTTCAGAACAGTGAGCCAGCTCTGCCGGAGTGACACCCAAACGCCAGCGCCATCTTCCTGACTCTCTCTGCTCTGTCTCTCTCCTAAGGTAAATCCACCCTACTACGTCCCGTTGGTGGAGCTGGTCCCACACCCAGAGACGGCCCCTGCGACGGTGGACAGAACCTACGCCCTGATGCGGAAGATCGGACAGTCCCCGGTCAGACTCACCAAGGAGGTGGACGGCTTCGCTCTGAATCGTCTCCAGTATGCCATCATCAGCGAGGCCTGGAGGCTCGTGGAGGTGTGTGCGCCGCCCTCTGTCCTGGCAGCTGAGCAGAGGAGGCAGGAGCCTCTGGGCACGCCATGCGGGTGGGAGAATCAGACACTTGCTCTGTTCCGGAGACCAAGGGCAAGCTGTTCCTCTCTGTGTTTCAGAGGTTCCCCTGTACGGTAGGTCACTTGATATTCGGATGTGGTGATGGGCTCCTCTTCCTGCCCTTTCCTGTCGTTACCACGTAATTATCTCTGTGACGTGCTGCATTTTCCCACTATCTCAGATTCTGCTCCCCCCACTCCCAGTATTATAATTTTTCAGGAGGAAAATAAATTATATTTTGAGTAAACTTGTATCCTCTAAAGGAACCCAGTTTATTTCAAGAGCTTGAGGAAGAAACAGTGGATGACTTTTTTTTTTTTTTTAATTAATTTCTTTTTGGCCGTGTTGGGTCTTCGTTCCTGTGCGAGGGCTTTCTTCTAGTTGCGGCGAGCGGGGGCCGCTCTTCATCGCGGTGCGCGGGCCTCTCGCTGTCGCGGCCTCTGTTGTCGCGGAGCACAAGCTCCAGACGCACAGGCTCAGTACTTGTGGCTCACGGGCCTAATTGCTCCGCGGCATGTGGGATCTTCCCAGACCAGGGCTCGAACCCGTGTCCCCTACATTGGCAGGCGGATTCTCAACCACTGTGCCACCAGGGAAGCCCTGGATGACTTTTAAACTTGTTGGTAGCATGCTTGTCTCACATACAGTCAAGAGATTATTTATATATATATATAAATTTATATACATCTATATTTACATACATGTAAATTTATATACATATATATTTAACATCATCCTTGAATTAAAAGATTTTAGACGTGACTTTAAAAATTGCCTGGCCACACGCACTCCCACCTGCACTTGTGTGAGGGGCCTGGTCCCTGGCAGGGGGACGACAGGGCAGCTCCACACCTGGGAGTGGTCCAGGCTCTGCCGGTCTGCGCTCCATCCCTCACTTTCTGATGCTTCCCCAGCTTCTGAACGGGTCGGTAGCGTGCTCTGCCCACACCTGTCCTG